AGAAGAAAAGGAAGAGAGGAGAGTGGTTCCCTAACAAATTAGAGGCAAAATGGAAAATAATTCTTTATGATCTAGTTTTTTAAAACCACATATAGACTTACAAATGGTTTCACAACCACCTATCTTTTCTAGGTTATAAAAAGGGTGTCTAAATAGCAAAATTATTCATGCTATTTAGATTCAAAACTTGATATTTTTAACATTTATATGCTAAAACATACTTGTATAAACCATAACTTGCATTAAAAATATCAAATTGATCAACATGTTTATAAAATCCTTAACCCTACAAATAAAAGCAACTTACTATTTTATTACAAAATAGATTCAAACACCAATCAAAATACCTTAAATACATCATTAACATGATATTAGGCTAAAGATATGAAATCAAATAAGCCTTGAAACCAAGAACCATGTCTTTAATACAAGCCTCACTAACACATTATTGACTAAAACTAAAACAAAATATCATAAAGAAAACTTGATCAATCTAAAACATGTTTAAAACAAGAACAAAAGCAAAAATCTTTACCAAAAAATACCAAATTATTCTAGCACTAAAATCAAATAAAAAATGCAAGATGAGCTCAAACAACATCAAAAAAGGTTTAAACATTAAGAAAGCATGAATAGGCAGGTTATATGGACTCCACCCTTGAACTTTTACATGGTTATACCTTCTCTAAGCTTGCTAGCTATGGATTACTATTTTCCTTCTCTCTCTTTTTATTTTCTTTTCTTTTCACTGTCTTTTTCTTTTAAAGCTTGTTAGATCCTTCATTTTAGACTCTCAAACCTTCATACCAAGGTCGTTTCATAGTGTGTTTCTCTATGTTTTTTCTTTTTTTTTTCCTTTCTCTTTTTCCTCACCTTTGCTTTAATTTTCAAGGGATATTTATACATTTTTCTAAAGTAAAAAGAAAAAGGATTAGGGTTTTTTATGTTGCGTGGGTATGTGTGAGCTACAAAGAGTTTTTTTTTCTTTTAGTATAGTTTTTTTTTTGTAATCGCCTCTCTCTAAAATTCTCTCCTCTTTTTGTGTGTGAGATTCCCTCACAATTTATAGGCAAAATAATTTGTCGTTTTCCTCCAAATTGCGTGGTCCCCAAGCAAATTTGGTGTTCAAGTAACCCAAAATTATTGTGTCCCCCCTTTTTTTTTGTACTTTTAGTCCCTTATCCAAATATTTTTTGTTTTTTTTATTTTTTAAAAAAAGACAATGCCAATGTCGACTTAATGAGAAAAATAAATTAATGATTTTAAAATAAAAGCATTAAAAATTGAATGTGTTGAAAGTAAATTTTTGAAATTTTATTTCTTTTTAAAAGATGTTGAAAATGTTAAAAATAACACAAATACATTAAAAATATATTTTTAAGATTTGTTTTCTATGTTTGGAGTTTTTCAAGAAAGTAAGAAAAATTGGGTTATGATAAAGTTGAGATCAAAAGAGAACCAAGCCTTAAAGATAGGGCTACATAATATGTATTATAACTTGGCAACATAACTTTATATTAATGGTCACAACTTTCAATTCAAGCATTGGATCAAGTTGAAATTTTTACAAAAGATTTTAAAGATCTTATTTTCTATAGAGTTAAAATTTTATAGCAACCAGATATTGGAAAGGGTTTTGATAAGGCCTAGAAGTTATAATGCATATTGGAATTTTAGTTATACAAGACTTGCGCTTTGTTATTTTACACATACTTTTAAGTTAGTTAGTTATTTGGGTTGAACTTTCAACTTATAGTTAATTAAGATTTATTTTTATTTAAGTAAAATATATAAATACCTTTTCATTCTTAGGGTGTGAAGACAAATTGGTTTTTGAATAAAAACTTTGTGAGTAGTTTTGCTTTTGATTCTTCATTAAACTTCTCAAAACTTGTAAAAAAGATCATCTTTATGGCATGCTAGCCATATACCTTTAGTTCTTAATTCAAGTAATCAATAGGGTAGGGTTTTATAATCTAATTTTGACTTTTTTAGGTAATCGTCTTGATTCTTGATTGTAGATTCTTAAATTTTATGCAAATTAAAGATAAAAAAAATTAAATCACCAATGTCTAAGTGAATTAAATCAAGAAGTTCACGACTTTTTTTAATTGTTTGAAAAGAAAGTTTTGTGAATTTACTTTTTTTTTATCAAAATGTAAGTATGTATTAAGATTAAAGTAACATGCTAGAGAACTAGAAGGCTTTGTAAATTTTGATTATATACAAACCTCACACTGATAGTTTTTTTCAAAAACCATACTTTGTAATAATTCATGATTAATAAGCATTTATATATAATTATAATTCGCATATCTTATTTGACATGCTACGTATCACAAGACTTAAGTAAAAAGAAAAAGATGCATTATTCTTATTATTAACTTCATCTTTAATTATAACAATTATTACATTTATTTTAAAAAGATCATCATAAAGATATTCATTTCTGACAAACATTTAGTTTTTAGAGAGTACAAATTTGTTATTCTCAAAAAATCATCGTGAAACCATTTTTTGCTCAACATTAAACTAAACACTAAGTTTTTTCTAATATCAACAACATGAAACATATTGTTTAGGGTAAGAAGCTTTTTGAATGTCATCTTTAATATGACCTTCTCAATGCTTAGATACCTGGGAGATTGATGAATTTCTTTTGTACAAGTATTCACCATCCATTTTTTATAAGTGAAAAAAATCTTTTTTCTCAACACACACATATCTTGTTGAATCATTATCAACCTACCACTACTTATGATTGACTTTAAAGACAATAAAAGATAAAATCAATTTTGAAACTTTGATTATAAAGTTATTAACCTGGGTGATATTGGATTGGGCAATCCTTCCCTCTTTAGGGTTCCTTTGTTAAGATCTATTTTTATCATTCTTGGTTGGGTGTTTAGTCTTTTTATAGATAAAACATTTATCATTGAACTTTTTAGCAATTCTCTTCTCCTTCGTAACAAGCTTTTTTTTTTAGTTTTTATTGTAGCACTTCGCAACTTATTCATCGATATTTGTCATAAAGGTCTTATTAAAAGAGTTGGCTCTTCTTCCAAATCACTTATTGTCTTATTTTATCCTCAACTTCAAAATGATTACTTTAACTCTCATTTCCTTATATTTGTTATTAATGTAATTCTTGAATTGTTTTAAAGATTGTGATTAGTTCTCATTAATTATAGTTACTCAAAAAGATATATTCAAAATCATAACTTCAAAAATTTAGCTTATAACATTTATAGAAATGAACCATCTTAAAATCCAAAAATTTATCAATTATAAACTTTTTCATGCCAGCTTAGTTTTAAAATTTAATGTTTTATGTTAAAGAAACAATTATTCACGCTGAAGAAGAAGATTGTTCAGACTTTTTATTCATTAGTTATACAAACTAATGGTTTAGAAAAAAAAATTTTATAGCCAAAGAATTATTTTATAACAAACTCAAACTCAAGCCTAGTTTGAGGAGTCATGTTTAAAAATGAAAGTCATTTTATTTAGGCTTATGATTTTTTAACTTTTCACTTTATAAAGTATAAAAAAATATTGTATTTATTTATTTATCTACTTTGCCCAGGCTAAGTTGTGACCTTTCAACTTTATATTATATATACTATAAAAAAATCTTTTAATTCTCCATCGTGGGATAAATGATTTTAGATTTCATAAATAAATGTCAAGCAAGGATTTTTAAAATTAATTTTATTCATTAATCATATATTTTAATCACATTAATATTTCATGTTAGAAAATAATTCTCAAAACCTTAAAAGTGATCAGCTTCCACTTTTAATTTGACATTAAAAAAGTTCATGGTTCTAACAAGAAATACTTAGTTTGTCATGTAAGTTGGTTTGCTTATTGGAGGTACATCCTTTGATAAATGATGTCTAGACTCTAAGGTGCTTCATGTTAGCAATTTTCTATACAGTTTTGCTCGCAGTGCTAAAATTAGTGTATCCGTAAGATATCCCTACTCGATTTCAATATGGACATTCTCACCTCAGACTTGGTCTGGTTGTTCTTTTTTTCCTGTTAAAATCGTTAAGAGAGAGGGACTTAATTTCAATTGACTAGTAAATTGGCCCAGAACCAAAAACAGACAGAAGTATGGGCATGAAAAGCCCTTAGCATCTAAGAAAGCTTTTTCCACACCTAAATGCTAAATTAGATTTATTTATTTATTGTGTTTTAAAATTATTTTAAAAAAAATTCAAAATTTTTTTATTTATTTTTTTATATTTCAAATTAATATTTTTAGATATTTTTAGATTATTTTTATGTATTAATTTCAAAAATAATTTTTTAAAAATAAAAAAAATATTATTTTAATTTAGAAGCATGTTATTGTTGATTTTGTTAATGGAACCGTTTGTTTTTGGTAGCACTGCTCTACTCTTATTAATTTCCATGCTCTTTTGTGGCTAATCTACTGGTTTTGCTCATATTTTTGTATCATGATGACGATAATAAGAGCTTCCTGTATGTTGTGTCTTCATTGCTTCCTATTCAAGATTTTTCTCCCTCTAAAAAAAAAAAAACAAGAGGAGAAGAAAATAAAATATCGCATAAAAAATGGTTTCTTAAAAGCTTGAAGGGCTTGAGTGTGAGATTTAGTCTCAGGTGCACGAATCTGATGCAATCATGCCACCCTGATAGGAATGCCAGTAAACAATTCTGATTATTTTATTTTTTTGGGGAATTTCAAATGAAGATCAGAGGACAAAAGGACTGAAAATAATGTGATTTTTATTGAAAATGGCGTGTGTTACAATAACTGATAGAAAGGATGAGGATTGTTGCTTCTAAAGCAGGAAACTTTACCCCCTTTTTATTCTAATAATCTGGATCTTCCCACGAGATTTAGGCAAAGATTATCACGCAATGCATGTTAGATGCATATATTTTAAAAGATAGCTAGACTATTTTAAAGCTAAAAATCCATTTCTATGTTCCCTTTTCTAATAGAACTTTTGCAGACCCAAGTAACTCATTAAAAAACAAACAAAAAAAGTCTTTTCTGACTGCATCTGCACTCTTGTTTTTTCATCTTCTGCTTTCATCTATTGTCATGTAAAACAGTACTAGACCCTTGTTCTTTTTCACAAGCTCATTGCATGAAGATGAAGATGAACATGTCAACTTCCGTAAGCCTCCCAGCTCCCTTGTAGCTTTAACACTAGAATAATAATGAGGGTGGTTTGAATGAGCTTGATTTCTGTATGAGGAGATGTGAATTAGTAATCATGGAAAAAAGTTAAATTTTTATGTTGGGTTTCTTTCTGTAGTCTTTTGAGTTTTTGTGTGACTTTGTTTGTAGTTTTATCAACGACACTGCCGAAAATACACAAGACCTCGTTGAATTTGAGTTTCCACATATATTTACTTCCTTGCTTCTTTGCTCGCAGATCGAGTCTAAAAACCATAGATTATGTCTTCGCCGAGGTCTCCCTTTATTATGCCTACTTTCAGCAGGTTTTTTTATTGGGAGTGTACTTTTGTTCGCAGATTATAATCAGGTACATACATGTTCACTTCAGTCACTCACTTTTGATTCAACAGTTTCACTAATACATGTATCTGTGTCATTGAATCTTGTAAATGGCAAACACTGAGGTTTTTTTTATTTTTTGACAGAAGATTTCAGGTTGGACATCGGTGAATGTTGTTCTACGGGACACAAGACCGAAGACTTGCGAGGTTTGTCGTCCAAATTCCGGTCCCTTTTCCTATTGTGTAATGATTAACTCTATTAATTTCCTCTGAATGTACATTTAGACTGAAAAGAGGCCTAAAGGAACTGAGACGCTACCTAAAGGTATTGTGTCTCCAATGTCCGACATGGAAATGCGATCGTTATGGGGCGACGACAAAAAGGTGCATACTCTCATATCACCAGTTACATTTCAGAGCTTAAATTTCTTCTGTATAGATAGGATTTTGTCCTGTTCCAGAAAAATGACCTCCTGGTGCTGTCGAGCTTGCGCATGCATGAACCAGACATGTTTATGAGACACCATATGCATATTCTGTTTCATATCCTGTTTTGATTTGGATAAAAATAGATAATCTGACATGGTATATCATTTGCAATCTTGGGCACAGAAAACAAAGAAACCAAAACATGTGCTAGCCATGGCAGTTGGAATAAAGCAAAAACTGAGCGTCAAGAAAATTGTCCAGAAGGTTTTTACACCCTGCTTAATTGCATTCTTCTTCACTGCCTCTTTAGTCTCTACAAATGCTGATTTGTCTCTCTGTTGATTTGTTACAGTTTCCATCAACTGATTTTGTTCTGATGCTTTTCCATTATGATGGCATCATAGATGAATGGAGAGATATGGAATGGCATCATCGTGCTATACATGTATCTGCCATAAATCAAACTAAGTGGTAACAAGCTGTATCTTTTCAGCATTAAGATACATTCTACACCTGGCTTTATATATGTTCATTCAATTCTCGATGATGGTACAAATTTTGCCATATTTACGTGAGTTAGGTGGTTTGCAAAGCGATTCTTACACCCGGATATTGTTTCGGAGTATGACTACATCTTCCTGTGGGACGAAGACCTTGGAGTTGACAATTTTCATGCTGGAAGGTATCGACATATGTATTACCTTTGGTTTAGTTGTCCCTTCGGTATCTAATCCCTCTGTAGTTGCCAAATTAATCCCTTTTTCCTCTGCTACTAATATAAAGTAGAAGCAACTACAATGTCCTATCCTCAACACATTGCAATCTTGGAGTGGGACCAAGGCTTGCAAATCTCACTACTCTAAAACAACATTAAAGACAGATTTTATTTGTGGAAAACTTAATAGATGGTGTGTTGCTCTTGGTAATCATCCAATAAACTAACGTTCCGTCTTCAATTACTGAAATACAGATATCTTTCGATCATTAAAGAAGAAGGGCTTGACATATCACAGCCGGCACTTGATCCAGAAAGTTCAGAGGTGCATCATCATCTTACGACGAGAAAACGTGGATCAAGAATACACAGGTTTAACTTTTTCTGCAAGAAAGTTTGCTTCTCGATTTGTTCAAACAACAACAACAACAAAAGAAAACTTTCTTTTGGAGGCTTTATTATCGTTCTTCTTTTGACATCAAATTCGTGTCTTCCTTGTCAGACTTGCTGTCGATGATGGCTAGATTTTGATGGGAGTAATGTTCTATATCATTAATTTCTTTTTTAATTTTAGGTCAAATAATGTGTTAACAGGAAGGTGTTCAGGATAATCGGTCAGACAAGGTGTGATGAAAACAGCACAAGGCCTCCATGCACAGGGTAGAAATTCTGCATTCATTACTTCCTAATTTGGTAGTTTCTGGTTCTCGGGCGTGTCCCCTCTACCTTTCTTTCAGGTTGAGTCTCTCATGTGCTGTGAAAAGAAATAAGAATGTTGTTAGTGCAGATTTGTAGAAATGATGGCTCCGGTTTTCTCAAAAGCTTCCTGGCGCTGCACATGGCATATGATTCAGGTCTGGCATCTTTATAAAACTTAATCTTTGGATGATTATTACAAAAGAAATTTAAACATTTTCTCCTATTGTTGTAATGTTTCATATAATTTCTTGCATTGATCTAACAACTGTATCCTTACTCCTTTTCTTTCATATTTTTGTCAGAATGACTTGGTTCATGGGTGGGGCTTAGATTTTCAGCTCGGTTACTGCGCACAGGCAACTAACCTCTTCTAAAATTACAAATGCCTTTATTTGGAAAAAAATGAAAAATATATCTACGTTGTTTGAAAAATCTATTATCTCTTATCAGGGTGATCAAACCAAAAGCATTGGGATTGTTGACTCCGAGTACATAGTTCATTATGGTCTTCCTACACTAGGAGGCTCTGCGTCAGAAAAGGTTGGACATGGTTAATTTGTACTGCAATTAGTTCACTCGGCAAAGCACGTGGCACTCCTTTCAGTTCTGCCAGTATGCTAAAAGAGCTCAGCAGTTTATCGATCCTATCTTCTATTGATGTTATGCTCCTTGATGCCATATCTCATAGATTGTTTTTTGGCAGAGGCAAACAAAACTAACAGCCTCATCTATATCACATTTTTTCCATCCATCATCTATAGCTTGAGTTTTCATTGTAAGTCCAGTGTTATAATTAATGATGATTGAATTTGCAGGCACAATCATCGTCCGATCAATCTGCTGGCAGACTTTCGGTAAGCTCCTGTTCCTGAAGCGTGGAAACTTTTCCCTATCAGTTTCCCGCTGGTGGATGGCTCAGTAAGAAGCCAAAACTGTGTCAATATCATCATCAAAAGCAGAAAGATGCCCTTTATTGGATTTGTTAAGTATTTTACATGGTCCTGTTCATCATTCCGGAAACTGTCTTTTGCAGGTAAAAAAATGGTCATTTGTTGAGCTAGAGAGGTTCAAAAATAGATGGAAGAAGGCTGTTAAGGATGATGAACGTTGGACTGACACGTATCAATAAATAACTGACGCAGATGAAATACTAGAGCTTTATTTTGTGATAATTGAACTCGTTTGTGCAAGGAAGGACAACAAAACTGTGTTCTGTAATATACAACACTTACCAGATAGTACCAGGTTCTTATCAATGTGTAGCTGTGAATAAAGCTTGAGATCGTAGTCTATGCTGTTGATTCTTTTAAATGAAGAAAGCAACAATTCCTTTAGAAATGGATTGCGATTGAAGAAAAATAAGTATTCTTGAAGAAGATTAAAAGGTAGTATCATTAAATTTGATAAACAAATGTTTTGATATATATATTTGCTACTTGCTACAAATAGGAGCGTTTAACTCTGAAAAGATACCATATCCAGACTCTGATTGAGTGATGCTCCTCCTGCATGTCTCTATCCTGAATTTTAGCTGAAAATGTAACATAACGTGCAAAAGACTAGGTAGTTGAATTCTTTGAACATTTAACTACCAGTACCACAGATGATTACAGGACAGAATCAAATTCAGCTCCTTCTGCCTAGGATTCCAGAAATGATTCCTCCAAGTTCTTCACCACAATCCTCCTGTACATGATGACCAGCCTTCAAAATGCAAAAAAAGTTAGTCAGAAGCATAACTAAAGAAAGTGGATAAGAACGCAAGGAAAGAGAGCTCAGAACCCCAGGCCAAATGAATCAATCACAAAGCAATTTGGGTAGCAGAAAGGGTTAAAAACAATACAGAAGGAGGAAGGTATTCCTCATAAATATGAACCAAGTGATAAATAAAGAATAACTTCGAAGACATAATTTGAGAATGGCTAGTAAACATTAATATTCGGAAGCAATTAGCTGAGGAGTAAGTACCACAGAATAGTCAATTATACTCCTCTTAAACCCCAATAAGCAGAAGCAAAGAAAGAAATAATGAGTAGCTTAACAGATATTGATGAAACCACACACAAGAAAAATGGAAGAAGAGCAGCTATAAGGCATTGACACAAAGGGTTCGCTCCATAAGATTTTTATTGTGCAATTTAAGTTCCAATGACATCTCTACATGTCTTCCGGTTTTATAACAAAACAATAAATTGCAAATTACTAGTCCAGGAAAAAGAAAAAGGATGGCAGAGCAGGCACTTTATATCAATAATGATTGATGAGTAAGCATTTGTAAATGATGCAAAAGTAAACGGTACAAAATATGCTGCTGCTTCTCTCCTGAGAGAAATGAATTTTGAGCTTTTCCAGAGAAGAGAAGAGTTTCTACCATTGGAAGCTCGATTAGTTTATGTTTCGAATTCTTCAAGAAGTCTTCAACTCCATCATAGCTCAACCAACGATCTCTCTGGCCCCAACACACTGTGGTTTTAACTTTCCAATTTTCATCCAAGAGTGTTTTCCTTGTTTCTTCCACATAGGCCTATGATGTAAAGAAAGAGGAACTCTAAGATGAATAGGACAAGCATTAACATGTGATAAACTTTTTTCACAACAACCATCTGTAAGTTAGTTTGCTTTCAGGTTTCCACAAACTCCAGGAGCCCTTTACCAAGATAAAACGTTTATGGCACAAAATGCAATATAATCAACTTGTTTCAAATCTACAACTAAAAATACTGGTAGAGGCCGGTTGTAACCTCAAATACATGCCTTAAATTGTTTCCTGACAAAGAAATTCCCTAAGCCAAAATCTGGCATGGTGAACAGAAGAAAAGTTTTTGACAAGATAATCTTCTTCTTCTTCTTCTTCTTCTTCTTTTTTTTCATCTAAGACCATCAAGTAAATGGTATGTATGTTATCTTGAGAATGTGCGCATTTAACACTGATGTCAATACCACTGAATCTTCGTGAAGATGATAACATTTGAGCATGCAGTGCATTTTTAGCCCGGGAATTATGCAAGAATTGTCATGTGGAATAAATCAGGTTAAGATACAGAAATACAGGCAAATAAAGTCATTCGGTTGGATTAATTCAAGCCTTTTTCTTGGTTGAGATGAGACTGATACTGCTAATGCTACCATGTTCTCTTTCTTTTTGTTGAAAAAACTAAAGAAAATTCGGAAAAGCACAGGTGAGTAGTAGAAGAAAGAACACTGATGAGATTGACTGCTCGAAGAAGCAGCTGATGCATAGAGACGCCGGAGGTAATGGTAAATTGCTGACTCGATTGAAGTGGGCCTTGAGACTCAAAAAGAAGAGAGTCAAAGTGTATTTTAACAAGCGCTTGGATGATGAGGAAAATGGAGATCTTATGTATATATTGAACTTGCCTTTAGATCCTTCTTCATAGCCTTACTAATCACGTTCAATGCAAACCCTGCAGACCCAGATGTGAGATAAGGTCTTCTATATACCATTGCATCATCTTCTTTCATTTTATAGGGTCCAGAGCTGGTCAAGGTTTTGTCACTGGCCCTTAAAGGATCCTATTTCGGCACAGGTGTGAAGTAATTAGTCGTGGACCAATAGATAGACAAGCTCACAAAGATAGAAATAGAAACAGAAGCACAAGCCTCATGCCAATGGCAGGAACATAAAATGAATCTTTTTACCTGGCAAAAGATTTCACCCAGTAAGAAGTTGCTGAAAATGGACAAGGCTGATGGAAGATTGGCATGTGTGGCAGTGAGCTTATAAACCAAGAAAAACAACACGTTTCAGTAATTATCCTCAAATAAAAATTCAAGAAAACAGTATAATTTTTTTCATGATTCTAACGATAGATATATTTTGGAAGACACCGAGCCTTACATACTCTCCGTTTTCAAGTGAAAAAACAAAAATGTGTCGCCATAGAGGAGGGAAGGTAGCTGTAGATGGAAAGAGAACATGGGAAATGTGGGTAATAGCTATGAAAGGAGAAGAGAATGTAATAAGGAGGCGTGAGGGATGAGTAATAAGATTTGTGAAATTGCAGACATCTACAGAGTCTTTCTTCCTTTCAGTTCTTCTATTCTCTCTTCATTTCTTGAATTTCTTCTGCTTGTTATGGTCCAACCATAACAATATGCTTCTTGACTGGAAAATTTAAATAGAGAAAAATGAAAGTCGGTACTGAAACTAAAGAAGTCACCGCTTAGCTGATAAAGTTTCTTGGCATCATGCCAAGACTTGGAATCAAATCCTGCTCACATCAAGAATTTGGAGGGAGTGGGGTAGTTTACGTTATGGAGGCCGGGTTACTCTTGCATACTGATGCTCTAAAATGGTTTTTTACGGTATAGATAAGGCTGCACTTGTTGTGTGGGTCAATTGTCGAATCCAAAAGGAGAAAATATTACTATTTTAAAAACATCAAGGAAAATTTCACTATTTGACGTTTAGTTATGTACTTGGTTGATCTTAAAAGTTCTAGGATGACGAAAATGATACGTGAAGTGATGAACAGAAAGCGAGAACTAAATGGTAAGGTTTAAGAAACACGTACTGGGGGATTGAGGAGTATTAGATCATTGAGCTTTCCCTGAAGATTGCTAGCATATTTGACAGCAATTGGTGAAAAGTATCCCTGAGAAGCACATCAAAAGTTAGAAGTTCTTCAGTTACATATTACATGATGAATAGATTTAACCTGTGCATCAATGCTTTTGGATGGAAAGTAGGAAAACACACCTGCACAACAAGCGATACCTTCTCAGTGGCAATTTCATTGATTAAGGACTCCAAGGATGCTACAAATTCTGCAAAGTCATAACAAAAAAAAAAATACTATATGAACATCGTTTCCTATATATGATATCAGGATGCGTCTTCTTTCTCCTAAGATAACCCAGTGGAGCATGAAACAATGGCAGAAGACCTAATATTTAACCCTTCCCCCCTGCCAACGTTGAGGCTGATAAAGTAAGTACAACTAAATACCATCCATAGTGTAGTCAAATCCGTATCTGGGTTGAGGCTTGTCTGAAAATCCAAATCCTGTAAAAGAAGTGAAGTCAAAACTGCAATCAATTCTAGCCTAAAGCTGATTACAGAATAAATTCACAAAAAGCAGGTCACTTCAGGCAAATGAACATGTAATTAAAAAGATCTTCATGAAAGCTATTCCAAGTGAAATCAACCGTTAAATTTGAAGAATACTTTTCTAAATTGTAACTGTGATCCACGTGGTTAAGACATTAAGAAAGCTCTGTGTATTGTCTATAAACTATTTCAAGCTTCATTGCCACACTCATGCATTTAATTTCCGATAATTTGACTGAAGCTGCCATACTTGGTCGTAAAATCAGCACTATAATCTGAAAATAAACATGTAATTAAAAAGATCTTACCTAACCAATCAAAAGCAATAGCATGATAGTTTTTGGACAGAGTGGGAAGAACTTTGCGGTATGAATATGCCTGTGACAGAATATATTAAGACTATGCATCAAACTCTTCTATAAGTCAAAAAAACGACAATGACAGACATGCATATCTTGGACAATATGCTAGTGAATGGGGTCTGAAATCAGATGAAAATAACATGGACAGCAGCTAGCTACATATAAAGTAATTCTAAAAATCATGTAGCTTCACATAGATTTCTACTATGAACAAATGCAGATATTTAACCAGCATCAAACACCATTAGCTGAACTGTTCTATATCAAATTTGAGCATGGTTTAGGAACGTGAGCATTGTGAGATCTTTCTTAATCTTTTGATGACTGCTATCCAATAAATATGCAGGTGAAAAGAGAAACGAAAGAGAAGAAAATACACATTGAATTACATGGAATAAGTTATAGAATGATAAATATAACAATCCAAAACATTATGATATGGCTGAATTTTCGGCGAAAATCACAAACATTCAGTCATGCTTGACTGAATTTTGGTCATAAAACATTCTGTGAGAGACAACTAAATGTCGTCCAAAAAATGGCAGTGCCTTTAGTTTTTAGACCAAAGGCATTTAACTAAACACCTACAGGCACTTAGCTGCTGCTAAGCCAAACTGAAATATCACGATTCACTAACACAAGTTCATCCAAGAGATTGTATGAAAAATCACAAGTCCTCTAAGTGAGTGTGGAGAAAGAACAAGTATGCATGTTGCATAAAGATAATTGAATTCCCAATACCAGCCGTTGAAGAAAGAGATCACCTGTGAAGGGAAACCATGAATTAATATAACAGTAGGATTATCAGCATTTCCGC